TCACATGAGACATTGCCCGAAAACATGAGACATTGCCCGATCACATGAGACATTGCCCGAAAACGTGAGACATTGCCCGATCACATGAGATATTGCCCGATCACATGAGACATTGCCCGATCACCTGAGACATTGCCCGAAAACATGTGAACTGAAAACATACGGTCCGATGTCGATGACATGAGACATTGCCCGAAAACATGTGAACTGAAAACGTACGGCCCGAAAACATGAGACATTGCCCGAAAACATCTGTCTTCACCAATTTATATTTTTGTCCCATTCCACCCCTCATACATGCTAATCAACTGCTTTCTTTAGAGCCAATTTGCAGCTTTTCACTAACGCCACTGCACATCCGTTCTGATGTGGTGTCACCGGGGTTACAAACCTCCACTGTACTTCTCGTTCTGCCAGTAGTCTTTTAGTATCTTCTTGTGAACTCCTGGGATCATTTGGCGAAGGTCAGCTAATGCACCCACAAACTGAGTACCATTGTACCTCAAAATCTCGGCTGGATATCTACGTATGACAAAGAACCTTCGCAGTGTCTGGATAAACTCCATCGCTGAGCAATCAGTTGCAACTTCCAAATGAACAACTCTGGTATTTAGGCACGTGAAAATCACCCCCGTAATGTTTCATTGTCTTGTTCCGTCCCACTTTGACTGTTATTTGTCCAAAGTAGTCACATGACGTGTAGCGAATGGAGGGGAACGGGGCGTCAGTCGGCAATTTGGGAAGTTCACCATTAACTGCATTTCGACTTTTCGATTCGCTCCTCGACATGTTTAATTTCACACTTTGACTTTATAATCTTGGCGCGCTAGGTCATGTACTCGCACAATCCAGTACATTCTTCGGATCTTTGCTGCTGTGGTTCCAACGCCAGTGTAACCTTGTTGATGAACTTCTTCTGTAATCAGTCAATAAGGTCAAAAAACAGCATTTTGGATGTGAATTTAACTTTTTTGTTACTTTTAGGTTAAAGAAAGATAAAACTTACTAAAAATAAATAGAATAATGGCAGTTAATCGACACAATTTCTGAAGGGTGCACACCCGGTCATATCAACATGAAAACCCCCCGGTACAAATAGGGTTAATTAATGTGACAATCGCTTATCTCTTCAGCCCTTCGTTCGTTCTCGCACAGATGATTCAGCGCTTTTCCAAGTCTTGTCAATGCAGCCCTTGCGGATCGACGCTGTATCTTGTCTGCCTTCAACGCCTCGCTTGGTTAACTCATAAACATAGTATAAATCCAGAATTTTCACCACCTTTTCTGGAGACCTATGGACTTTCTTATTTTAAGATATGAAGTATAAAAACTATTCATAGAGTATTAAGACCATTATAAACAAACATAAAAACACAACTGATGTGCTAGCTTCAGGGACGTCGCGAAGCCATCAACATTGGGGGGGGGGGGGGGGGGGG